CCCGCCACAGGGCCCGTTTCACCTCGCTGCGCCCGGCCCGTCGGCCGCGATACCTCGGGGCTGCCTATTGCTGGGGCAGACGGCCGCCCCACCCTCCCAAGGCGCAGCATAGCTAGACAGCTTCGGCTGGCCAGATGCGAGTGGGCGGCGCACGGGCGCCGCAGCCCCACACGCAGCAGCTTTCGGGCGCCCGGGCTGCACCTACTCCCCGGCGCCCGACATGTCTCACCCCCTTTGAGCCCCGGTCTCGTGGCTGTCGAGGCATATGGCCACCCCCTGGCAATCAGCTCGATAGAAGAACGCAGGCGGCCGTCAGCCGCACCCCTGGCACCTCCTTTCGAACGGATCCGAAGAGGCCGACAGCCACCCTGTCGAAGAAACAGGCATTGGTAGGGATCAGCACTCGGCCGAATACTGACCCCTACCAAATCGGCGCCTGAAGGGGATCCCGGCAGACCCCGGCAGTCGGACGGCCGCGAGCCGCGAGTGGGACAGCGCCCCGGCGCGGCAGGGCAGGCCCACGAACAAGGCCTGGGCGTGGCAGCGTGCGGGGAACGTCCCCGTACCCTCTCGTGACAGCCGTCAGCTGTTCCCTGGCCCATGTTAAAACCTCAGGCAGCCGTCAGCTGCACCCCTGGTAACATGGGCAACCAGTGACAGCTACAGCGCTGCCGGCAGGCCTCCGACGCCGCGACCCGCAGGACGACAGTAGACAGAGGTGCCCGATGGGCAGCACAACTCAGACAACGTCCTGGCGAGGGGATGCTCGAGGGCAGCACAGCCCTGGCACGCATGGTGACACGTTCTGAGAATATGTTCACCGTCCAGTCCCCCCTCTGCGAGCAATGAGCGCCCTCACACGTTCCACTGGACGTGGACTTCCATGCAAATCCGCGCGGCCGTCAGCCGCCCCCTGGCCCCCGCCTCTCTCCCCCCCCCTCTCCCACGGACGGGATGGCACTGCCATTTGTCCGAGACACAAGGACGGGGCTGCCCTCGGCCACGCGTTCACGCGGGCTCGCTCCCGCTCGCCGGGCCACCGGCTGCCCGCTGGCACCGGGAGCCCCCGGAGGGCCCCCTCAACGTGGCCGGCTGGCGTTGTCAGCACCCACCGCCCCCACCATACGAGGGCCCCACAAGGGCAGGGCGGCTAGCTGCATGACCCCGCGGCCCCGCATCGTCATATGGGTTGCCGCCCCCAGGCGCTGACGCCCCCTGGTGTCCGCCCTTCTCCTGCCACACTGGCGATGCCCATTCCCGCCAGTCAGGCCTGCTGCCCACGCAATACGCGTTTCTCAACGGCGTTCACGTCGTGACCCTGGGCCAGGCCCTCAGGTGCAGTCGCCCTCCGGGCCGGGCCCATCCTAGCGTTGTTGCTCGGGGCCGGCGCCTTCCACAGGGCACTCGAGATGCGTCGCGGAGTGGCCCAGCCTTCCAGCAGACGCCGTGCTTCCCCCGCGACCCGCCCCAGCCTACCAGGCAGGTCTATGCCGCTGTCGCGGCCCTGGCCCTTGGCGCCCTCTGGCGACATGGTCAGTCTGTACCTGGCCTTTCTTAGCTACAGTGTTTGTGCACAACGTGCTTGCAGAGCTCCGTTCCCGGCTACGCACCACTTTCCGGTTCACCAGAAGCGCTCCTCAGTACGCGGCATGGCACTTACACCGCGGTGGGCTGGCGCCTCGGCGTGCAGTTCCTAATTCTTTGGCTCTGCCACAGGTTTGCTCGTTGCATCAGCTTCCCCGGGCGTTGCAGACCAGCCAGTCAGCCCCATCCGCCGCTGCTGCTCCACAGCTGCCGCTTCTGAGTATTGGCCCCGGCCGGTCCGCGTGGCGCTTAGTAGCTAATTAGGCTGGCCCGCGCCCCGGACCCCCTTTCGCCGCGCGCCCTCTGCTGCGCGTTCGCAACCAAAAAAGTAGCCCCACCAGCCAATCCAGAAACGATGCCCACAGGAATTGCTTCGATCAGGGAAGTGGGCAGCACGCAGAGGAAGGGCCCCCCAGCGGAGGCCCCTTGGAGCGTCTCAGGTGCCTCGGAGAGCGTCTCTTGGGAGCATGTTGGAGGCCTCTTGGGCGCCTGTTGGGGCCTCCTGGGCGCCTCTTGAAGCGCTCTTGGGAGCCTTGGGAGCGCTTTTGGGGCCATCTTGGAGGACATCGATCAAACAAGCAGCGAGCATTAGTTAGTGTTGCCCCTCGGGAGCCCAAACAATCGCCTCTTGGGGCGTTTTTGGGGCGCTCTTGGAGCGCTCTCAGGCGCTCTTGGGGCCGTCTTGGGACTCTTCAGCCTCTCTTGGAGCCCTCTTGGGCCATATTGGAGCCATCTTGGGGCCTCGGATGGCCATCGGAAGCGAAAAGGCGAGAAAGCCAAACACATCGATGTTCCTAAGGTTTGGGCCTCTTCGGGGCCTCCTGGGGGAGCTCTTTGGCCACTTGGAGCCGTCTTGGAGCGGTCTTGGAGCATCGTGGGAGCCATTATGAGACATCTTGGGATATCTTGAGCCATATTGGAGATCATCTTGGGCTCCCCCAGGCACTCTTGGAGTCATCTTAATCAGTGCCCCCCAAAGAGGCGAACATGTGGCTAAAACCTTCTAGTAAAATCAATGATTTGGCATCCTCGTCGAGGCCTCTTGGAGCATCTTGGGTGCCTCTGGGGGGTCTCTTGGGGCCTCTTGGAGGTCTCTTGGGAGCCTCTTGGGGGCATCCTGGGGGCCTCTTGGGGCTTCCTGGCCACCTCTTGGGGCCCCCTCGGGGTCCCCTTGGGAGCCTTGGGGGGCCATCTTTGGGCCATCTTGGGCGAGATCGATCACGGCATGGGGGGGTCCCTAATTAGGGCCCCCCCCCTCAGGAGGCCACGAAATGGGGCCAGAGCCATAGCAAAACCAATGATTTTGGCATCCTCGCCGAGGCCGTTTTGGGCGCTCCGACGACTCGCGGAACCCTTTTGCCCAGGTCCATGGGGACGGGGCAGGGGGAGGGGCAAACCCCTCCCCGAAGGGGAAGAAGGAGGGGTGGAAGAGGAAACGCCCTAAACCACCGACGCCCAGGGGGCTAGTGGGATTATTCCCCCTGGTTCCAGAGGGGGGGGCCCGCCCCCCCTTGGACCCACCCCAAAACGCTCGCCGCAGAGGCCGAAGGTCCTGGGTGGGGTGGTCTCCCAACCCATAGTACAAGGGTGAATATTTTCGGGTCGAGTTGGTGGCGGCGGTGGTCAATACAGGCAAGCCCAGGCAGATCCTGCTTCGCTCCTTTTTGGTGCCTCTCTTGCAAATGGGACCTGCCAGCTCCTTTTTCCTCTTTCTCCTTTTTGGTTCCTTATTGGCTCCTTTTTCCTTGTTGGTTCCTTTTTGCTTCCTTGTTGGTTCCTCTTGTTCCTTTTCGGTTTCTGTGTGGCTCCTGGTTGGTTCCTAATATGTCTCGGGATAAAGTTGCATCCACTTGGAAAGACTCCAAAAGTTGCCGGGTGCTCCAGGCGCCGCCTTCGGCGGCCGAGACGCATTGCGTTTCTGGGAGTGCCGTGGACGACGCCGCGCTGAACGCCATGCGCCACTTGCACTCCTGCTACCACACGTTGAGCGGCCAGTGCATCTTCAGAAAGGATACGATGCGCGACTCCGCCAGCAGGTTCGTGACCTTGTTTGCCTCTCTTGCTGCGCTGCAGCCGCGGAATTGGCGCGTCAAGCCGAAGGCGCACCTGCTCCTCGAGATGGCCTTCGCGGGAGGGCAGCCGTCGCTGTGCTGGACCTACAGGGACGAGGACTTCGGGGGCAGCGTGGGCCACGTGGCGAAGAGGCGCGGCTTCCCGCTCTCAGCGACGGGCTTCTCCCGAGCGGTGATCGCGCGCCACCGCACGCAGCCGATGGCGCGGCTCGTGCGACAGCCGCGCGCGCGGACAGAAAAAGTGCACGCGCCACAGCGCTGCGGAGGAGCGGCGCCTCCTGCTCCACCAGGGCGCACGCGCCCTCTTCAGGAGGTCACACCTCCTTTTTCGAATGTTACACCGTGTTGGAGCATGCGTCGACGCTGAGCGTCGCTAAAATTTAGCGTCGACGCTAAATTTTAAGGATGATAACTTTGAGGCCGACTACTGAAGAAGCAGCTGCGCTTAATAAGCATAGATGGATTTACATGGGCCGGTGTGGGATGCTTGTCAAATCATCAACAGGTTCTGGGCAGCTGTTTGAAACATTCGGGATCTCCAGGGAGCCATGCAAGTAAGTTTGTTAACGCAGAGTCTTGCCACAGCCACCTGCCAAGATCTCAGTCGTTACCATGTATTGGTTTCCACTTGTTTTGCCCCTTTCCCTTCAAGTTACGGGTCCTCCGGGAAGCCCCAAAAAATGTTTCCACAAGGTCTGCGCACTCCATTTGAAATGTCGGAGAACGTCGCGCAGACTTGCATGACAGAATCCTCGTCCAATTGCGGCTTCTTTGACCCCAGCTGGTGCCAAAGCACGACAAGTCTTTACAGTCAACGACAGTGATAAGGAACCCAAGGATCTGCCACGGGGCCCTTGCATCCTTAGGTTTTGCTGGTTTTGCTTATGATTGTGTCGGTGTCACAGCTTCCTCCCGCAATTACGAGCTTGCCTCCTGACCCCACACTCTGGTTATGCAATCAGTGGCCCTAACAGGAGTGGCCCCAGAAATGTTGGAGCAGAAACTGCATACATTCCGGCACGAAGGGCCAAGAACAAAGTGTCGTTGACCCGTCAGGTCGGCATCTCTGTAGCTTCTGCTCCAGAATTTCTGGGACCACGTCGTGCTAGGGCCAGTGATTGCAGAGCCCGAGTCTCTGACGGTACAATACCTTTTGCTCGGGTCCCATGTCTACATACGGCCTGGGGATGGCAAGGCTTGGGTCGGCACGGCACGAACATGTCGTATTTTTAAGCAGGATCATGGGCACAGCCAGGGAGGAGACGCCTCGTTAGCTGTACGGTTTGCTTTCGTCGCCCGCGGGGTCTCGCGCGGACCATCTCCACGATCGGTTGCCGTGCCGCGAGCGGTGCTGGTTCTGGCTCCAGGGACAGCCCCCACGCCAGCTCCTTCCCTCAGACGCCGGGAAAAAGTATAGACCATGATTTGTTTAACCAGCTCTCTTCAAAATCGAAGCTTGGCCAGAGTCCACCGGGATGGCGCGCGCATGGTTCAATCACCCCACCCTGGGGGGCGAAGCCCCCCAGGATCTGCCGAAGGCGGCGCTGTGGTGCTGGAGCCATGAACAGGCCATCCCGGTGGACTGGCCAAGCAACGACTTTTGAAGAGCATTGGCTAAAGAAGCCATTGTCGATCCTGCCCCCAGACACCTCACCTTGAGCGCGCAAGCGCGACGCTCGGCGCCTCCACTTCTCCTCCCTCGGGTGCCGGGGCGATGGAGTTCTCTCCCGAGCCTCCTGGCCTGGAGGCGGCACCTTCTCGGCCGCCGGCCTCCGCCGGGGCGCCCTCGGGGCCACGGAGGGCGGCCACCACGGGCACCGCCTCCGAGGACGGCGAGACCGCGGACACCGCCTCCGAGTCGGGGCCATCGAGGGCCGCCACCACGGTGAGAGGCAGCCGCGAGTCGGTGATGGCGAAGACGAAGAGCTACACGAAGCAGTGGTTTGCCACTGGCAGCAACTGCTCCCTCGAGCAGATCTCGAGCGAGGATATCCGCAAGATCTGGTGGCTCAGCGTCCGCGCGATGCAGGCCCGCGCCGAGTTCAAGAGGAGGCAGCTGGAGCTGTCCGAGAGGATGCTGAAAGAGCGGCGGAGTGGGTGTGCGAGCGCGCTCTTGTCGACGTACGCCACCCGCTATCAGTGGGCGCTCTTCGTCGTTGTTCATATCGTTATCACCTTCTTGATTTGGTCCCATTTTTTCCTGAAGAGGTTCAGGGAGCAAGAGGGACTCCCCGAGCTCATCCCCGCCAAGGACGCCCTCGCTCCAGAGGATGTTGGCATGCCAATGCCCAACTACTGGAAGAAGCGTCTGGTTGCGCCGCTGTTGTTTGGCCTCAAGCACGCCATCCTGTGGCAGATGGTGTGGCTGCCTGTTACGATGAGCCGCCACCTTCTTGCCCTAGCTGCTCGAACTAAGATTCGAAACTTCGTCCCTCTGGAGCACATGACGTTCTTCCACATTACCCTGGGATACATCACGTGCTTCCTCATCATCGTTGCTACCATCGTGTTCTTCGTCTTCTTCGTGCACGGCTGCCGACAGCACCTCGGGCAGTTCGGCCACCCTCTCGAGCCCGTCGATTTCTGCGAGAAGATCAAAGCGAGATCATGATCACAGGACTAGGCATCTTCGTCCTCCTGGTGATCGTGATGGTAAGCTCCTTCCTGCGGCGCCACATTCCGTTCGAGTGGTTCTACGTGCTGCACCATTTCGTGCTCGTCCTGTTCGGCCTAACCATTGCGCACACCCTGGACGACCAGTTCTGGGGCGGCACTCGCGTCGGCAAGAATCGGTCGCAGAGCTTCCGATTCATCGCCACGACGCTCAGCCTATATTTATTAGACAGGGCTTGGAGCTTCCTCACCATGCGGCGCAACGTGCCCGTGCAGGAAGCCGTGGTCACTTCCACGAAGAGCATGCTCACGCTGGTGTGCAAGAAGCCGGTCGACTTCCAGTTCGCTCCTGGCCAGTACGCGTACATCCAGATACCTTCTTTGGACCTTACGTTCCACCCGTTCTCCATCGGCTCTGCGCCGGAAGAAGTTGTGCTCAGGTTCTACATCGTGGTGTATAAGGGCCAGTGGACCGAGAAGCTGGCCGACGCCATCGAAGAGAAGACGGTAAGCGGAGTGAACATCATGGGCCCGTTTGGTCCAGGGCTCGATACAAATAACTTCGTGAGCGTCAGCGCAGTGGGCACGGGGACGGGCATCGTGCCCATGATGTCGTTGATGAGGGAGCGCTATCGCAGGCTGACGCTCATGAACAAGGAGCTGCTGCAAGGGATTCAAGAGGACCCCGAGAAAGTGGTTCGGCTGGAGCACATGGCACTCTACGAGGCCGTCGACCACACGAGACTCATCATGCTGCAGTACCAATGGAAGCTGCGCTGCATGCGGGTGAGAGGCACGCAGACTTCGATGATCATGTCTAAGGCCACGAATCGTGCGTACTACCACTACATGTTCGACATCATCGCGCACGTCGTCCTGCTTCTGGACATGTGCCAGGGCTTCTGGACGTTCTCTTGGAAGTACCTGAACGAAATGGAGTTCAATGCCAAGTTCCAAAAGGTCGATGCAGTCCAGTGGAAGGCATTGGAGGTCATGAGCCTCGTCTGCATCTTGTTCTTCTTGGTGCACCGGGTTTACGTCTGGGCGAATCCTCGCGTCTTCCGGCGGTCCTTCGCGGACGTGCTGGATGTGGTGGCAGTGGCGTTTATGCTCGGCACCCACTTCGCATGGGCGGGCGAGGTTCCGTCCTTCTACATCGCCCCCTCTTCCATGGCCGTGCTCTTCCGCGGCTCGTTCGCGCTATGGCGCATCGCGCGCATCTACGCCGCGAGTCAGGTCCTGCGCATGGGCGACGCCAGCTCTAAGGGGGTCGAGCACGACCTCGTCAAGAACGGGAAGTTCCGCGTGCTCTGGATCGTGCGGGGAGGAGATGGCTTCGCGGCCCATTGCTTGGAGCTCGAGGACATGATGACGGACTTGCTCAAGAAGTTCAGCCGCTGGCAGCTGGATCTCCTCTTCGGCCTCGACATCTACCTCACGGGCGTGACCCCAGCCGAGGAGCGGAAGCTCCGGGAGCTCATCCAAGGATCGGCTATCGAGAGTTGCGCGCGCTTCGAGCGCCCCGACGTTGTCGAGTGGGTGGTCCAGAGGATGTCGGACGTGCTCAGGGACACTCTGCACGACAGGTGCGCCACCACGGGCGGCTCCATGATCGCCTTCTGTGGGAGTCATGCGGTGGGCTTGCAGGTAAGCCGAGGAGTGCAGGAGGCGAACATGCACGCAGTCGTGCTGCGGATGGCTGGCTGCCGCATGGCGTTCCATGAGGAGTACTACGGCGTCGTATGAGGCAAGCCGAAGGCTCAGGGGCCCCAGGAACCTACAACCAGCATTTTGCCCTGGGGAGCTCTCGCACCCCCCAGACCCCCCCCAAACGTGCTACCTTTCGGGGCCGAAGGTTTTCCAGGGGGGGGTCCGGGGGAGGGCGAGAGCCCCCCCAGGAAAAGTGTTGCTTGTAGGCTCTTGGGGTCCCCTGAAAGGCGCTGGTGCGAAGGAGGCTTGGTGGACAGCGCAGCAGCCTCTGAGGATCGGACAAGAGAACCAGTGGGTTCTCTTGGAAAAAGAGAGAGAGAGAGAGAGAGGAATTCTTGGATTTTTTTGTTTGTTCGAATCTTCGATCTTCGAGGGTTGGAAGCGGGGTCTATTGGGTGGTCTTGGGGCGGTCTTGGGCAGCTCTTCGGCGCTCTTGGACCATCGGAAGCTCGAAAACGCGAGAAGCCAGATGGAAAAAGACAATGAAAATCTGCGATTTGGGCCTCTTCGGGCCGTCCTGGGACTCCTCTCGGACCTCTCTTGGGGTCTCTTGGAGGCCACCTGGGAGCCTCGAGAGCTGTCGGAAGGCTGACTTGGGCTGATTGGGAGCGTCTTGGACCATCCTTTCGCATTCGGGGGGCTCCTGGGAGGCGTCTTGGGCCCTCCTGGGGCGCTGTGGAGGCTCCCCAGAAAGGCCAGGGGAGCGGTACCGGGAGCGTCCCCGAGATGTTCCAGGGAGGTGTGGGACCCAGGGCTGGGGGGGGCGGTATTTAAAATATTATATATTTGCAAGGCTGCATTGGCTCTTCGCGCCATGCATCTTGGTACCTGAAGATTGGCATGCAGGCGAAGGAGAGGAAGCACAGTAGACGTAGCGATAACTCATTTTTGCATTTTACGGCATCGTCGTCATAATGATGTGACTTCTTCTCCTCCCTTCATCTTTCTTCTTCTGCCTCATTATCGACCTACCTTGCGAAGCCTTCCCCATGCTCCCCAGCTCTTTTGCTGATCCTCCTTGAAGAGCTTCTTGGGGCCCTCACGAAAATGCTGAAGGGCCTTCTGGAGGCCTCCTGGGCACCTTCTGTGATCCTTTGGGGTCTTCCTTGGCCCACCCTGCTTCCAATCACGGTCTCCCTGAACGCCCAGGTCACGATTTGAGGTGTTTCTGGGAGCGTATTGGTTCCTTTCTGGCCGTCATGGGGCCCTCTTCGGGCCGTGTTGGGGCCCTGTTGGGCCGCCTGGGGGCTCTTTTGGACTGCGTGGCAGCCCGTTTGGGTAGTTTTGGGGTGAGTTTCAAGCCTCTCGGGCGGCCTCGGGCGCCCAGAAGACCAAAGAGCCGAGGATTCCAAAAATCACGCGAAAACCAGTCGGCCACGGATCCCTGGAGTAGGCAAGGTGAATATGTCTAAACTTTTAAAGATTGTGTGTCTATATAGTGTGTGCATATGTGTATATGTGTACATATACATATTATATATATGTATGTATGTATGTATGTATGTATGTATGTATGTATGTATGTATGTATGTATGTATGTATGTGTATATATATATATACATATATACATATATATATATATATATATATATACACATATCCCCGTGCACGAGGCCGGGGCACCCGGGGCGGCGACCTCGACGGCGCATGAGGGGACCAGGGCCTCTGTCAAGCACGAAACGCACTCCTCCCCTCTCGTCTCTTTCCTCCCGCCCTTGCTTCCCTGAGGCGGAACGCTGGCTAGCCCCTGCTGGGGTTGGCCTGCTTTCTGCCTCCTCTGCTTGTCTCGTCCTCGTTCAACCCCCGAATTCAGCCACGCGGAGCTCCAAATCTGGACCGCGGAGGGCTGGTAGTCGGCGAAGTGGGAAGTGCTTGTGATGATGTTTCTTGTTATGTTCGATTCCCCGCCCAAGAGTGTGCACGCAGTAGCTGGTGAGCATGAGTTTGCTCCTGACGCTAGAAGTGTTAATGCCCCAGGCGCCGCCCTGCTGTCGGCTGACCGCGGCGCGGCCTGTGGCGCCAGTCTCCCGCCGGGCTCGCCCGCCGGGCACTCCGCCGCCCACGGGCCGCTGCTTCCCGTCGGCCTGTGGCTCCACTGTGGGTGACGACGGGCGCGTGCAGCTTATTCCGCCGTTCATTAGATATGATATTACATCGCCTGTTGTATTGTATGCGGGTCTCACACGACCTTGCTTCCGCTGCTTCGGCATCGAGGCTGTCCGCAGGTTGTTTTTCTTTCCTTTCCCCCCTCCTCCTCTTCCTCTTCCTCCGCCTCCTCCCCCCCTCCCTCTCCACCCAGTTTCACCGATACGATTTCGGGGTGCTCCGTATCGTTCCGAGTTTTGCTCCAGAGAATGGGGCAAACAAAAAACTGTCATAACGCTTTTGGCTTGTAGCTGCCCGAATTTCCGCCCTGGATTTCGGCCACGCTCGCAGGACACAGGTTCTGCTGGGAACCGTGGTTGTCCTTCCCATGAGCTCGATTCCAGGTGGCGCTGGCGCTGTCGGGTAGTCCGCAGCTGCCGCCGCCGTGTTGGTTCCGATTGTGCGGAGCGACGTGGCCGCCGCCGTGTTGGCTCCGCTTGTGCGGGACGACGTGGTGTAGCACATGCTGTTTGGGGGTTCGTTTGCCGTGAAAAAATGGGGGGACCGGGGCCTCTGGGTCCGAGACAGCCCCAGACAGCCCCGAAACGCCACCCGAGAGCCCCAGGTGGTCTCCAAACGTCCAGGAGGGCCCAGAATCCTCGAATTGTAGCTCCAAGACGCCGAAGATGGCTCCAAGACGGCCTCCGGGAGCCCCTACAACGGCCCCAGAGTCCCCCAAGAGCCCAAGAGCGCCTCCAGAAGCAAACATGGCCCCATTCCCTTCGGAAAATGTACATCTTTACGATGTTCACCGCTCCGGCGTCGACCGCGTCGAAGACGGCCCCAGGAGCCGACAAGATCGCCCCAAGACGGCCAAGGAGAGGTCCAAGAGGCCTCCAAGACGGCTCAAGAGGGGCCCTCGACTGTCCAGAGGGCCCCAAAGACGGGCCCAGAGGGCCCCGGGACAGCTTCCCCACACAGCCCCGAGGTGTACCCCACCCGACATTTTGAGCCTTCCGCGCCAAAAAGCGCCCCGGAGACCCCAAGAAACCTCCAAGAGCCCCCGAACAAAAAAAAACCCAAGCGGGCCCCAAAGGGCCGCCAGGAAGCCCCAAGATGCTCCCAAGAGCCCTCTCCCCAGACGCCCTGAGGTACTCTGGCCGATCCCGAGGCTTCTGGACAACTCTCGACATCCTGACGCCCCCAACGAGCCCCTGGACCGTCAATCATTTAGGACGAAACTCCGGGCCTATGGAAGTTGTCTGGACCTCGGGGCCACCACTCCAGGGACCAGGCATTGAAAAAATCACGATATCGGAACTCTTGGTCAGGATGACAAGCCGATCCCGTGGAAAGGGCCAGACTTCCAGGAGCCGACGTATAGCGAAAAAATCACGGCGCCGGAAGACCGGGCACCTCCCTCCTGTCACCCCTCCCCTCAGACCCCCTCGCTCCATCAAAGGATCACGACGGGAGGTTTGCGGCAGTTTGCGCCCACGCGTGGCCCCCAGCCGGCCCCGGGACCATCAAAAAACGAGGATGTAAAACCAATCCCGGGGAAGGCGTACCGACCTCCGGGAGCCGACGTAGCAAACAACAAAAAAAAACGAAGTCGGGTGATCGGGCATCCCTCCCTCCCTCCTTGTCTCCCCTCCCCCCAGACCTCTCCCGTCGTAAGAAAGACACGACGAGAGGTTCTCGGCCGTTTTCGTCTTCCGTTGTCGTCGTCGCCGTCGTCGTCGCCGTGCCCGCTGACGTCGCCGTCGTCGTCGTTTTTGTCGCCGTCATCATCGTCGTCGTCGTCGCGGTCGTCGTCACCGTCGTCGTCGCCGTCGTCGACGTCGCTGTCGTCGCCGTCACCTCCGTTGCCGTCGCCGCCGCCGTCGCGGACCCATTTTTCGAGGATCGGGGTTCAAGGAAGTTCTTGGCTGCTTTCCGCCTCCAGGGGCCGTCCCTGGGCCCCGGGATCCCCAGAGGTTCCGGGAAAAAACAATTGCAGCGAACAGACCCCTCCTCCTCCTCCTCCTCCTCCTCCTCCTCCTCCTCCTCCTCCTCCTCCTCCTCCTCCTCCTCCTTTCTCCCTCCCTCCCTCCCTCCCTCCCTCTGGTCCAGGGACGCATCTGGAGCAGATGTTTATGTGTGGCCGCCGAGGTCGGCGTCGGCGTCGGCGTCGTCGGCGTCGGTGCGTCGGGACCCCTGGCGGGAACCGCGGCCACATCCTGCCCCGACTCGGCCCACGCGGGGGCGGGAGCAAGACAAGGACAAAGAGGAGGAGGATGGAGAGGCGGAGGTGGAGGATGTAGAGGAGGGACAGAAGAGGGAAGACGAGGAGGAGGAGGAGGAGGAGAAGGAGGAGGACAGCTCCAGACCGTATCACTGTGTGGACGTCGTCGTCGTCGTCGACGTCGTCGTCGTCGTCGTCGTGGTGGTGGTTGTCGTCGTCGTCGTCGTGATGATCGTCGTCGTCATCGTTGCGGTCGCCCTCGTCATCACTCGTCGCCGCCCTTGTCGTCGTCGTCGACGATCACACGAGCGAAAAAGAGAGCAGCAAAACATGGCGCAGTCGCGAATATAACCTAAGCGCGCGAAGCGCGCGCGTGGACCATAGATATATCTATATCTGTATATAGATAGATAGGTAGAAATATAGATAGATAGATAGATAGATTGATAGATAGATGGATAGATAGATGGATAGATAGATAGAGATAGATAGAGATAGATAGAGATAGATAGAGATAGATAGATAGATGTGTGTGTTCGCCGTATGGTCAGAGAGGATTGGGTACGTCACCGGGTGATTTGTCCATGAGCGCGGACGCTCAAGTTTTCCCAGCTGGTTGCGCGGGGCCGACGAGTTGAACCTGGAAACTTTGCAGGCATATCAACGTTTCTGTATGCGGGCTGCGGCTGCACCACCGCCGCCACCGCAGGGGGGGTGCAGGGCGAGAGGAAGAGAAGGGGGAGGAGGAGGAGGAGGAGGAGAACGAGGAGAAGGAGGAGAAGGAGGAGGAGGAGTCAATCCCTCGTTTCATATCCGGACGCTCCATACAGCGGAACTGCACGTAGCATGTTGTCTGATGGGGGATTCCTGCCGCGAACCTTCTTAGCGGTTTTCTTTTGCTGGGACGCAGCCTTGGGCATTGTCATTTGCATCGGGAGCTCAGCTTACATAGCCCTCGCTCTTCCGAGGGTCGCGAGCGTCCAGTGCGTTCCACGTCTGAATGATTGCGCCGCCGACAGGCTGCAACTGTTTGCGTTGCCTTCGTCCTCGTTTTTTCCCCCCCGTTCACTCGACAAGACGCGGCTAATCTCCTTGTTGCTGGTGGTGACTCCGTGGACCTGCATTTGAAAGACTTGTGAATTGTTTCGTCCGAGGAAAACAAACATGTGTTCTGCATGGCTCGATGCTGTCCGATGGTAGAATCTCAGGGGCCCAACTCAGGATAGAGGTTCAGTCACAATCAGCTCTCTTAACATATTGTGAATTCTGAAAAAGGGCCCCGGACCATCTCTGGATTCCCACTTCCCTTTCCCCTCATCCCTATCTCTCCTCCTTCCTATATATATATATATATGAGTGTATGTATGTACGTGTAGAAATATGCACACCTACATACAAGCATACTGTGTATATATATGTATATATCCATACTTGAATGCATGCATGCACACATACATACACACGTGCGTACAGACAGACCGACAGACAGACAGACTGACAGACAGACAGAAAGACAGACAGACAGACATGCATACCGACAGACATACATATATATGTATGTATGTATGCCACGTTGGGGGTCATTGGCGGTCTTGCCCACGGACATGTTTGTAAAACGGAACCCGTGATTTGCCACAGACCCACCTGACGTAAGTTGCAATTCCCCAGATTGCTTGGTATGTGTAGTCCAAGCTGTGTCTGCATGTCTTTGCTCCGCTCTACGATTGGATGTCAAGCTCATTGCGCGGTGACCTTGTAGCAAATGTGAAGACGCGCCGTTCTAGGTTATCGAGCAATTCCGTGACATGTGCCAGCAGTTGCGATTGCCGAGCCACCGTTGCTCGTACATCCGAAATTCGACGTTGTGGTAATTGCTGCTGGTTCGTGTCGCACTCACTATACGTATGCTATTTTTGTGAGTTGAATGCTTCCGCGTCCGCGCAACGGGAATTTGTCATTGGCATTGCACACAGCTGCAAGATTGCGGTTTCGATATAGTAATGACCATATTGGCGTTTCGGACCGCATTTGGATCACATTTTCTATACTTGTGCCAGCGTTGCACCAAAGCGCTGTCATCTGACGATTCGCGGACGCACGACCACGTTGTAATATATCAGTTGGTAAGATGCACAGGAATGAGTCAAAACGCATGCGCGATACATGAAATCTGCGCGCCCGTCGTGGCGTAGCGCTGTACAGTTAATGTACCGCGTGGCTCGCTGGTCCTCTTGCGTGCACATGGCCATTTCGACGCATCCTTGGCATACGCGCCGCTCCAGCACCTATCCGTTTTGTCGGTTGTGTTTCGGCGTAGATAGATTGGACATGGTGGTAAATACACCCGGCATGTGCCCGAGCATTGTGACACGCGCACCCGATGAGTCCAGCATTTGATCCAGACTCGCGTTGGTCCGATGCCTTCCTGGCTAATGTTTGTGAAGCCGGGCGGAGTATTGCAGAGACGGCGGAGTAGTTTCTTTTTCGCGCGGGAGCGCGTCTCGCTCGATGATGTGTACGGTTCGGCGCGGAATATGTTGGATCCCGGATTGGCGTAACACGTTGATAGGCATTTCTGGGATCAAAAGTTCTTGCCGAATGACGCAAGCGGCACGTCATGTTCTAAATAGTAGAAGGGGTGTCAGGGTTGCTGACCATGGCCACTGGAAGGATAGATTGTCATGGTTGCGTATTGTTGGGCGCGTGTCTCCTTCGGCCCATTCATTACGCTACCGATGAAGCCCACATATTTATAGCGTGATGATAGCTGCCGTGAAACTTGCGAGAATGATGCAGGTGGCCGTTGCTTCGCCGATACCATTGGTGGCGCTGGTCAAGCCTTGGGAGACTGACGCGCCGTGCGAACAACAGCCTGAACCATGGCGACCACGGAATGGAGCGGGGCTGCAGGTAGGCAGGCGGACGACGCACGCCGCGGTGAAGGACCACCCCCTGCGCATCCCTTATGGTGTCCAGAAATTGCCACGCCTGCTGTACATAGACGATTGGGGACGTATAGACACCGCGGTGAGAGACCACCCCCTGCGCACCCCCTCTGGTGTGGAGAAAGTGTCACGCCTGCCACGCTCTCCGACCCTAGCACATAGAGGCCGCGCTGGGAGACCACCCCTTTGCGCACGCCCTCTGTTGTCGAGAAATTGCCACGCCTGTCACGTTCTCCGACATTGGCACGCATCGGGGCCGCGGTGCGAGACCACCCCTTGCGCACCCCCTTCTTGTGTCGAGAAAGTGTCACGCCTGCCACGCTTTCCGACCTTGGCACGCGTATGGGCTGCGCTGAGAGACCCTTTTGCGCACCCTCTCTGGTGTCGAGGAAGTGCCACACCTTCCGCGCTCTCAAGACCTTGGCACGCATAGAGGCCGCGCTGAGAGACCACCCTCTTTGCGCACATTTTCTAGCATCGAGAAAGTGCCACTCCTGCCACGCTTTCCGACCCTGGCACGCATAGAGGCCGCGCTGAGAGATCACCCCTTGCGCACCTTATCTGGTGTCGAGAAAGTGCCACGCCTGCCACGCCCCCCGACCCTGGCACGTATAGAGGCCGCGCTGAGAGACCACCCGCTGCGCACCCATTTTTGGTGTCGAGAAAGTGCCACGCCTGCCACGCGTTGCGAGCGTACGACGGATAGCGCCCCCACTTCCAGCGCACCCCCTGTGGTGTCGAGGAAATGCCACGCATGCCACGTTTTGCGAGCGTACGACGGACAGCGCACCCACATCCAGCGCACCCCCTGCGGTGTCGGGAAATTGTAACGGTTGCCTTTTTTGCGAGCGTACGACGGATAGCGCCCCCACTTCCAGTGCACCTTCTGTGGTGTCGAGAAATTGCCACGCATGCCACGTTTTGCGGTCGTGCGGCGGAGAGCGCCCCCACCTCCGGCGAACCCCCTTGTGGTGCCCAGAAACTGCCACGCATGCCACGTTTTGCGAGCGTGCGACGGACAGCGCACCCACATCCAGCGCACCCCTTTTGTGGCGCCGAGAAATTGCCACGACTGCCACGCTTTGCGAGAGTACGACGGATAGCGCCCCCACTTCCAGCGCACCCATTCTGGTGTCAAGACATTGTCACGCCTGCCACGCGTTGCGAGCGTACGACGGATAGCGCCCCCACTTCCAGCACACCCCTAGTGGTGTCGAGAAATTGCCACGCATGCCACGCGTTGCGAGCGTACGATGGACAGCGTTCCCACCTCCAGCGCACCCCCTTGTGGTGCCCAGAAACTGCCACGCACGCCACGCTCTGCGAGCGTACGACGGATAGCGCCCCGTCCTCCAGCGCAACCCCAGTGGTGTTGAGAAACCGCCACGCATGCCACGCTTTGCGAGCGTACGACGGGTAGCGCACCCACATCCAGCGCACCCCCTAGTGGTGTCGAGAAACTGCCACGACTACCACGCTTTGCGAGCGTACGACGGATAGCGCCCCCACCTCCAGCGCACCCCCTTGTGGCGTCGAGAAACCGCCAAGCATACCACGCTTTGCGAGCGTACGACGGATAGCGCCCCGTCCTCCAGTGCAACCCCTGGGATGTCGAGAAACTGCCACGAGTGCCACGCTTTGCGAGCGTACGACGGATAGCGCCCCCACCTCCAGCGCACCCCTTGTGGTGTCGAGAAACTGCCACTTCCAGCGCACCCCCTTCTGGTGTCGAGGAAGTGTCGCGCCTGCCACGCACCCCAAGGATGTGTGTATGTGCGTGTGCAGATGTGTGGTTGTAGCTCTTGACCGGAAGGGACCCGCTCCCGACCCGCAGACCAAAAAAGTGCAGATGTGTTGTGTGTATGTCCAGCGTGGAGGAGGAGTGACGAGACGACGTAAGAAAGGGTGAGGAGGGGAGGCGGGTGTGTGTGTGTGTGTGCGTGTGAACGCGGGTGCGGCGCGGGTGGGACGAAAACAAGAACTTTACGAAACATGTGGGGAGTAAACTTTTAAAAGCCAAGGCATTTGGATCAAGGAAGTGTAGGAGCATGCAGTGGAACAAAGGGCGGCAACCATCAAGCCGAAGGTCCAGATCAGTTTGAGCAGACTTAGAAGTCAATCATAGAGGCCTCTTCGAGCTCTCTTCGAATTATTTCGGGTGCCATGCTCCGTATCGAAGTTCTCTTGGAGCTAGCTCGGGTGACCTCGGGGCTACCTTGGAGCTCCATTGGCGTTTTGGTGTAGATCCTGGAAGGGTCTTATGCATGAAGTTGACAGACCACGTCCTTGCCCAGATTGTATTGTTTTGATGTTGTCGTGTAGGTTTCGGTTGCGCTTGCACAGACGGCACTCGGTTCCAAGGTCAACGCTTGCTTCCCAGTCAGTTGTTGCGCATGACTAGGGTAGGATAGATCGCCCCAGAGCGTTCTTGGAAGCTCTCAGAGCGTTGGCCGAATTGGTTAAGATTGCTGGTCACCGCCAGCGCCGAACGCGACGTCATTGAAGAGGGAGCGGGTGGGCCTGGTGACGGCCGTTACGCGGCATACGCATATATAATATAAACAATCAGGCCGGGCCCCCTCCTGGGGCGTCCTCCACCTCGCTCACATATGTTGTACTGACATATGTTGTACGCTCCTGGCACCGCGCTTCCCGGCCTCCCGGGGAGTTCATAAAATGCCCAAAGACAGCCCAAGACGACCACAAGAAGCCCACAGAACGTAAAAGAAAGGCCCAAGACGTTCCCAAGCAACCCAGGATAGCTTTCGGGCGGCTCTCCAGGCTCCCAGGAGGCCTCCAAGAGACCTCAAGAGCGCTCCGAGAGGCCTCCCGAGAGCGCCTGGAGAACCTAAAATCTTGAATTCAAATTGTTTTTGTTCAGGGTTGTTTGCCTTCTCACCGTTTCATGCTTCCAACGCCC